AATGGCTGTTGTAGATTCTTGATGCAGGCTTTCAAGCTCCACAGTTTTCCGTTTTCGGAACACGTACGTATGCCTGAGCGCTGTGCTGTCATCTATAGATTGTAACAATGCAATCATCGGTGAGGTGGAGGGGGGGTATGGATCGGCTGCTGATTTGGGGAGAAAACAACAGTGGTGAGAACGCCGCGGGTGGGGTTAGTGAATCCCTCCTGAGACGAGAGGCTCATCATTGCGGTTAGGTCCCCTAGAACGGAGCGACATTGGTTGAGACGGCTGGAAGATTGCAATTCGACTCCAGAAGTATCTCACGTGACGCCCTGCTGGAAATCGCTCAGTCACAGGGATCCACGGCATATGATGATTGAGTGAGCAACAGCGACCCAAAGCGTTAACTTTACTCGATAGGAGAGTACGAAACCTAGGGCATGAAATTCGCATTCAGTCTTTCCTCATCAAACTCGACAAATGTCCTGTCGAACGTACTTTTGTGAGGACGAAAATCCGTTCAATCTCATGGATCAAGTTGCGCCAAACCGATGAGATCATTATAATATTGCAAGTTTTGCAATTGACTCACTATGACTGAAGAGAAAGACTAGTTTCAGCAGTACATACTCCTCCTCGCACACGTTGAGCTCTCGGAATCGATTTACAACGTTCCTTTCCAGTTCGTTCACTACCACCTCTATATCGGCACTGAAACACCGCACAAGCTATTCAACAAAGGAAGCTCAAATTGAGTTTAAGACGAACTGTAATGTTTTGGCTCAAATCTATTTGAGTTCGCAACTAACTGTAATGTTTTGGGTCGAATCTGTTTGAGTTCACAACTAACTACACATACTGAAATCCATCGCTTGATTGCTGCCGCTTTCGAGGAAAGAAGAAACCGTTGCAGAGCAGCAAACTGATGCTGTCGTACTTGAAGGTGTTGAAGGATATGGTCAGAAGTATAGTAGGAATCATCTGTTTCGTCGTCAACTCCAGCTTAAAATTAGGAAAATTAATTTTTCACAATAGGAAAGCAAGTTTGTTCATGATATCTTATCTTCAACATGCAGGGCGCAGCACCGAAATAGATGGAATGGCGATTACAGGACAACTCCCCTTCAAAAAACTGGAACGTGGTGCGGAGCCCCTTCCTGCATTGTTGAATTCCAATGTATTCTACAACTGCGATGAAGACTCATTGTTTCTTGAGTAATCCTCTCCAGCCGACAAGTGAGTTTTACTTCCTGCTACGGAGTAGCTTTTTTCAGGTATAGGGTACTCGTGCGTGAAACGGAAAACAGTAGCTCTTAGCTCTTATACAGCCTTCTAGTAGCTCTTAGAACATTTTTACGCAACATCGGCTCATCCAAATGCTGCCAAGCATGCTATTGTAGGCAAGTATGTTCAAAAAAGTTGTAGACGTGTGCACAGGCGATGTGAACGACACAAGTCACGGCAGTTAGCTACAAAAAACAGCGACGGATAATCGCTATGCAGCTTCAAGACCCCAAAGATCATCCCAAACAATGTTCCTCGTCAGAACAACTGACCTTTATGAACAGAACTGAGCAAATGACCTTTATGTCCCATCCATCTCTGACAAACTGATCGCTGCCATTCGGCGCAACGTTCCAAGAGCCCAGTGGTGAATTCATGTCCAATTAGTGAATATTCCTAACAAATGCATTAGGCAGTTGGCATGATGATTTGGTACTCGGCCTAAAATGCTAGTAGGGCGCTGTATAGTGGGGAAATGGCGAAAGAACGGAGTGAAACGGTCAAAATCCTGCGAAGAAAAAGCCTCCGTTCTCAGTGACTTGAAAATCGATTTTGGACGAGTTTCCCGTAGGCATCTTGCCAATCACCGCTACCGAAGATACGGCTGCATATGTGTACCCATATATGCATGCAGCATCACGGCCGCTTCATACCAATCCTTCGCTTCATAATTTGCTCAGCAAATGAATGAATACGAGCGTCAGGAACGGTCGTCCATTTGTGGGCGGGCGGGCGTGGTGGGCGTTCGGGTCGGTATGTTGTGGCTTGATAGGGCCCTTATAAGGGCACCTCCCTTGGAAAAAGGCGCTATGCAGCGCCTGCTCAGGGTCGCGGAATTCCGTCCTTGCTCACAAAGGCGTAGTTTATTGGATTGAGCGCCAAGCTAGTAATATAGCAAGAGAAACAGGAAGGGTCCTAGCCGTTTGCATCAAAGAACACCTGGCTACCATGAGATGCGGTATCCCTTCTACAGCCCCTTGGGAGACGCAGGCGGGAGGAGCACAGTGGCAGTGAAATTGAAAGAAAGGGCGCAGTGTTGGCACGTGAGACAAAAATTTTCTGCAAGGGAACCCTCGGAGGCTTTTTGGATTCCAACAAGAAATCCAGCTATGAACAATCGAGATGAGCGTTCCACAGTAACGAGTGAGCTGTTGCATTCATTGCGTAAGGCGAACGTAAGGAGTACATACTGAAGTGTGTAACGTAGGTTGTTTGGTTATTATCAGTCTTAGGATGCAATGTACTGTGATCACTCGCTACTTACTAACGCTCGATTAAGTTGTTTGCAAACTTTCCTCATAAATGATGAAACTCCGGGTAAGTATTTTTTCTGGATTGCTTGGATCCCTCTCCGAGGCTACGGACAGAGTGTCAGAACCGCCGGAAAAGGTAAGCCACTTGGTACGCCTCAGATGACGATGATTCAGTCAACGAAGGCTACTCTAATAATACTTCTACCTATCAACCTCGAAAAGCACAAATATATAAAAAAACTGCAACTAGCAATGCCAAGGTAGCAAGAAGAGAGAAGCTGAAGAATACTAACTTCGTTGTTCTATGATTGTACTACGGTACTACTGAATCTTCTTTAGATCAAAAATATCTTTGATGAGTTATGAGAATGAAAACCACAAGCGAATTTCTGCGTTCTTGATTTGGATACAGTTTTTTTGAGACCTCTTATGTGAAAAGATGTCTCAGATAAGCTTTTGATGGGTGACTTCTGAGCCGCTAAAAGTTCGATTTATCATGTGCTTTTGTAATGAAACTCAACTGGAGTCTCGCAGCGCATCTTCTCATTGGATTGAGTGAGCGAGTACTTTGGTTATTACCAATCGTTGTCTTCTGTGCGGGCGCCAGTGCAATCAACTCCCACGCCGAGGTGTTTGAAGGTATAATTTTCACGTAAAGCTTGCCAGTGCAAGCCAATGTGACTCAGCAGTTCGTTCATAACCTCACCACCATGTTTGCTTATTCATTAACACTGATTGCCTCAAAGACACCCCTCTTCCAGCAACCAAATATATACGACCCCTGATGGGTTGCCAACCATCGATGCTGTGCCCTGTATCAATAAGGTAAGTGAATTTTGAAAACTATAACGAATCCAAAAATGATTAAATGAAAATGAAATGCATGAAATGCAGTGGAAATGAAATAATGCAGATTTGTAACGTACACGTCTTTTTTCGTCCAGTATCGCCATTTCTTCAACAGCAGCCAGCCATTCCAGATAGTGTAGCACCAAGCGGCAGTACGACGGCTTCACCGCGCTCTCCAGGTCATTGAGCGGCTTCATACCTTTCCAGCATGCCTTAAAAGACTTTGCAAAGTGAATATATCGGTGCATAAGCTGCGCTACTGCCGCTTTTGTCGCAACAAAAGAATTGTTTATGTACATCTATCTAATACTGTTCAGAAAAAATATTAACGTTATGCTGTTTTAAAGCTACCCTATTTCGTAAAAGTGAATGAGTGGCAGCAATGGGAAAGAAAAAAGCATAACTGAATAGAGTGAAGTTCTTACATTTCGCGATTACTCTTAACTATCAAAACATTGCATGCCGGAAGGTGAATTGTATTGCCCGCATACAAATTCGTCTGTATAGGAGACGAGACGGACCACCTCTTTTCCATAGTGACTGTCCCTCTTTCTTTCTGCCATTCTACAGTTTCTCTTTCTTTCTTACTGTTTTTCTGTCGAAAGGTTGTGAAGTTCCAGGCATCTTGAAATATTGTCCATTGTCCTGCCGCGAAACTGACCAGGATCTCTCTCTCTCTCTCTCTCTCTCTCTCTCTCTCTCCCTCTCCTTCCTCAGGGAGAGGAGAGAGAGAGAGAGAGAGAGAATGCCGAGATGGATGGGTCCCTTATCATTTGTGGAGGCTGGAATGTTTGACGTCACGACAACCATAGTTTGCTATACGGACGAGAGAGCTTGAAGAAATAGAAAACTCTTCAGAAATAAAAAAGAAGATCGACGCATCCAAGAGGATTAAGTTCAAGTTTTCCCTAGGTCGTTTCGAGCTAGGGACCTTATTGTTAGGGCACGTTTGGTCACGTGACTCTGCCCGCGTTCCTAGCTATTGTCTGTATTCTGTATCAGCATTCTTGTGATGAACATGAAGTGGTGTTGTGCATGCTAGCATACGACTCAAAGCGGTAGAAGGTTGGAAATTTTGTGGAGAAGACACTACTGACATGACATCTAGAAGAGTAAACTGACCGGTGTTCGCTCTGAGACCATCAGCGGATTTTGAATTGCTTTTCTCAATGCGACGTCCAAACTGTAGAAACTGTGTTCAGCCAGAGATGTAGCATACGTGTCGTTGTCACATGATCTAAAATCGACGGGATCAACGGCATGGCTACTAGATAGGCGCTTATCTCCCAGTAGACAAAGTAATTTCTGTTGAAAAAAGCTGTATATTGATAGTTTCTTGTGGATAATAGTTTATTACGTAAGAACAGTTTTCTTTCGCAGAAAAACTGGTACCAATTTCTTTGAGGGTCGCGTTTATGATAGACGCAGTGTGCGGCTCGTCCCCGTAGGCTGAGGCCGTACTCGTTCCTCTTCATATTAGGTTGATGCATATGTTTCCAACCCCGAATTTTTTTGTAAATATCTCAAAAGCGAACCAGCCTGAAGATTAGAGGTATGCACCATCACCATCCACTACTCGACGCCAGCGCTCAGGCAGCTTGTCGATTCCATCCTTCCAGAACGACGGGGCTGGGACTTGAAGAAGTCGTCGAGTGCCTTTCTGACCTGATCCTTTGTTTCGAACTTTTTCCGTCCAGAGAGCGCTGCAGGTGGCTGAACAGCCAGTAGTCAGAAGGAGCGAGGTCAGGGCTGTAGGGAGGGTGGGCGACCATCAGCCATCCGTACTTCTCCAGCTCGGCCTGGGTCGCCTTTGCAGTGTGAGGTCGGGCGTTGTCATGGTGGAAGTAGATTTCCGCATTCCTTCCACGAGTACGGTCGACGTGATCTTTCAATTTCCGCAGCTGGGTCACGTATGTGGAAGCGTCAATCGTCTGTCCCTTCTCCAGCAGCTCCCAGTACTCCATGCCTCTTCTGGACCACCAACAGGACAGGAGAACCTTTTGGGGTAGAGGACCCACTTCTCATCTCCAGTGATCATCGAGTTGAGAAAGTGAAGCTTCTTTTGTGAATCGTGAAGCAAAACCAGGCAGTGGCGCAGGTACATTCTGTCACAGTGGTAATTGTGCGACATTGTGGCCTGCAAATGCAAGGTGGGTGAGTGATAGCTAGTGTGATAAAAGAGTATAATGCACACGTCACGCACACGTGATGACGAAATACCAACATCCATGCAAACGAAATACGGAAGGATCAAACACGGGGTTAAGAACATATGCACAACTAATAGTTAAACTTTTCTTTTAGATTATGATTTGGTATCGGTAGTAGTAATTTTGCATTGCTGACTGATAACTGATAGCTATTGCTAGCACCATTTAAATCCTCCTCTGTGGTTATTCATGCTGGTCATTTTGATATGTCGGCTGCAAGATTGAGTAAAATGGTAATAGCTTCGTAGGAGCCAGCATGCAAGCAGTAGTCTTCAAATAATGGCGCATGGCTTAGGGTAGGACAGATGGGCTACATCAAGCACGTGGCCATTGTGCACATTAAGGGCAGTAAGTGCTTGCAGGTTTTGTACCCCTGTGGCCAACACCGTAGGCGAGCGAAGGCACACGTCACGCACACTCCGCAGTCCTCTGCACTTATTCGCGCCGGACAGGTTTCAGAGCGCGTTCGAACTTCGCCATCGTGCGATCGGATCGCGCGGTAGGATCGCTTGACTAGGATCGCGCTATCGGGCTATTGGGATGAGTGTGAATTTCACAGCGGGGGGTTCATTTTTGTTCATGTTCATGTTTATGTTTACGCTGTGTTTTTTGTTCATTGTTCACGTTTAACGTTCCTTCTTTTGACTTTTGTTGTTTGTATACTGCTGTTTTACGCGCTGAGTGCGCTATGTACGAAAGTTGTCAGCGAGGAATGCGATTTGTGGGCAATTTTTGCCTGTTTGACTTTTGCGCACGCATTTCTTGTGGATAAGTTTTCGTATAGCGCCACTGCGTGCTGTCCAAACAGCAGTTATCAAAACAAAAACAGTCTAAAACTTGTAAAAAGCCTTCAGCCTTGCGGTTCACTGCCGATATCGGCTAACCGGCTCATCACGTTGAAACGCTGTGATGTGCTTCGAAGCAATGGCACAAATAGCCATTGAGCTGAGAGGTCAAAAGTGGCCCCGGTAGCGTAAGTGGTAACGCAACTGCCCGGTAAGCAGAAGATGCGGGTTCGAGTCCCGCCCGTGGTCCGACTTTTGCCCACAACTCAGCATTCTTGTG